CAATTCTTCCCACTGTTTTCACTCTGCACAGTGTGAAATCTCCCCATTCCTCCACGGGTTCTGTGACAGACTCAGACAGATGGAGGAGTAAGCCACAAACATGTAATCGCATAAGATACCATTTTGTTAAAATGCTCCTTAAATAATTAAAAATCCTAAAACGAAACCTGTATGTCAGGGGTAAAGGACCATATAGATCTAGGACTATAGATCTGCTTGTCTGGGTCCTGGTCAGAGGCTGTGGGGCCACAGGTATGCCGGGGCTGAACATGTGGGCTGAACACCAATGGCCACCAGACTATAAGTACAGTCCTGCTACTTGCAGGTGTTAAGGTGGTGGTGGGTATGATGTCCTCTAGTCCCCACCCTGCACTCATCTGTCGTGTCCACGACACTAAGATCAGTGGTGCAGACCAGGTGCCTTCTAAATTTTCCTTCTGCCCCAATGAGTTATGAACCACCTCCCCCAGACGAGGGAGAGCACTGCAATGAGGGAGACATCTGGCTTCTAGAGGCATCTAAAATGAGGCAGATGAGAAAATACTGGCCATGTGATATGAAGATGTACAGACAGCATGAACTCAAGCACGCCAGTGTGTACATACCGAGCGTAAAGGAAAAACAGGAAGGAGGCATGGCAAGAAATGAACACTGGTTATCCCCACATTGTGGGATTACGGTGGCTGTTATTTTATTCTTTACTCTTTCCTCTGTTTTTCAGATATTCAAAATTACTTTTATAGTAAAAAAAAAATAAGGGGGGGTGCATGTCTCTTTTTCACTCTAAAATCTGGCTGCAGGGCCAAGCCTAGAAGTGAAAATTAGGGGCACCCGGGTGGCTCAGTCATTAGGTGTCTGCCTTCAGCTCAGGTCATGATCCCAGGGTCTTGGGATCGAGCCCCACGTCGGGCTCCCTGCTCAGCGGGAAGCCTGCTTCTCCCTCTCCCACTCCCCCTGCTTGTGTTCCCTCTCTCGCTGTGTCTGTCTCTGTCAAATAAATAAAGAAAATCTTAAAACAAACAAAAAAAGAAGTGAAAATTGTCTTGTGCAGCTACTCTCTTTGCAGACCTAGTTTCTTTCCTGGGACAACCCAGATAATAGCTATGGCCCAAATAGGGCACTAGAGTTCACCCAAATGCGTGTGGTACTTCAAACAGCTGTTACACACGAATACTGTTAGTCCTGCTCCTGTTCTGGGCATTTATGGTACTTCACAGAGACAGAGCATCAACAACAGGGACAAGGAGGAGGGAAAGTGAGATTTAAGTCTGTTATCCGACACTCACAGGCACTGCAGCGCAGTCATTGCTCCCAGCAGAAGAGACCTGTTACTGAGAGACTCATTTACGACTGGAGCTGAAAGTCACCTCAGAACATAACCAGGGTTCGCATGGCCCGGGACCCAGTGTGAACACATACACACCAGGAGCCTATGCTCGGGTACTACACGCACACAAACACCGCAGAACCCAGTGTCTAATCACACAACACAGAATTGAACATGAACACACATATACACAGAACCTTCCACGTGCACACACACAATCTCATCAGAACACAATACAGTCACATACAACCCTCACACCTAACAAGGGGGCAGACCTCTTAGAACCCAAATACATACCCATCAGAACCCCAAACAGGCAGATACCCCTCAGACCCAACACAGACACACACCCCTCACAACCAACATAGACAGACATAACTTACACCTAATAACAGCACACAGACACTTTAGAACCCAAACATGCACACATACTTCCCAGAATCTACCACGGGCACACAAACTTTCCTCGGAACCAATATGGGAGCTCCTCCTCAAAACCTAATCACAAAACCTCATAACCAATAAGGACACTCACCCCTCATCCCAACACAAACAGAAACAGCTTCAGAACCAACAAAGACACACAACCCTCAGACCCAACACAGGCATACAGACCACTCAGAACTCAACACAGAGCACACACCCTCAACTCAAAGCGGGAACATACCCCTCCTTCCAAATGAACACCTATTCACACCCCTCAATATACAACTTGGGCACAAAAATCCCTCAGAACCCAACATGAGTGCATACACCCCTCAGACACAACACAGGCACACACACCTCAAACCCTATGTGGGCAAACACACATCTCAGAACCCAAAACAGGGACACATACCCCTTAGGTCCAACACAGGAGCACAAAGACACCTCAAAACCAACAGGGACACACAACCCTCACCCAATATGGGAGCACACCCTTCAGAACCAACACTGAACATACACACCTCAGACCCAACACAGACAGAACACCTCTCAGAAACCAGCATGGACACACACCCCTCAGAAAAAAACATGGATATACAACCACTGGGCCCAACACGGGCACAGCACAGGAATACACACCCCTTAGAACCAACATAGACACACAACCCTCTGAGACCCAGATGGGCACACTCCCTTCTCAGAAGCCAACACTGGTAAACACACCCCATAGACCCACATGCGCACAGACCCCTCGATCCCATCACAGACACACTATTCAGAACCAACACAGACATGGTACTCTCAAGACCCAACATGGACATACACGCCCCTCAAACGAGGGAGCACAACACTCTGAAGTCAACATGCACACACACACCTCAGAACTGACACTAACACAAACACCTCAGACCTAAAATGGACACACACACCACTGAGAAGCCACTGAGGTACAAATGCCCTTCAGAACCCAACATAAACACAACCCCTTAGAACCTATGCAGGCACACACTCCTCAGACTCAACATAGGCACATACACCCCTCACAACCCACAATGGGCACACAAGAGCAGACTCCTCAGAACCTAACCCCAAGGCACACCCCTTAGAACCTAAAAACAGGTACATTACCTCTCAAATCAACACAGACACACGCCTGTAGAACCAAAACGGGCACAGAACCCTTAGACCTACCACAGGCACACACACCCCCACAGAACCCAAAAGAGGCACACACACTCCTCAGAACCAACACAGACACACGACACTCTCACCCAGCTTGGGAACACATCCTTCAAAACCTAACACATGCACACACCCCTCAAACCCAGGATGAGAGCACACCCTTCAGAATTAACACAAACACACACCCTCAGATCCAACACAGAGAGACACAGCTATCAGAAGCAAGAAGGACAGACAGCCCTTTAAAACCAAATGGAGGGGCGCCTGGGTGGCTCAGTCGGTGAAGCGTCTGCCTTCGGCTCAGGTCATGATCCCAGGGTCCTGGGAGCGAGCCCCACATCGGGCTCCCTGCTCAGCGGGGAGCCTGCTTCTCCCTCTGCCCTTCACCCACTCATGCTCGCTCTCTCACTCTTGCTCTCTCTCAAATAAATAAAATCTTTTAAAAAATGTTTTAAAAAAATAAAATAAAATAAAACCAAATGGAACCCAACGCTCAGACCCAACACAGACACACCACTCAGAACAACACAGACCCAGACCAACCCTCAGACCCAGAATGGGAGCACGCCCCTCAGAATCAACACAAACACATACCCCCTCAGATGCAACAGAGGAGCACACACCTCAGAACCTAAGACACAAACACCCCTCAGACAAAACCCAGGCACACACCCCCCTCAGAACCCAGTAAGAGCATCATATGCCTCAAACCCAACATGGGAACGCACACACCTTCAGACCAACAAGGACCCACAACCCTCAACATGAGCACACACCCTTTGACCCAACACAGGATACACTGCTCAGAATCTAACACACTCACACACCCTCAGAAGCAACACGGTCACGCAACCTTCAGACCAAAACAGGCATACATACTCCTCAAAACCCAATGGGGGCTTACACACCTCAGAACCAACACAGACATACAACCCTTATGCCCAACACGGTTTGCATACACACCCCTCAGAACCAACAGGGTCTCACAACCGCTAACCCTAACACAACCTTCAGATACAAACAGACATACAGTCCTTGACACAACACGGAGAACACTCCTCAGAACATAACACATACACACAATCCTCAGAACCAACAGGAACAAACGCTCCTCACACAGAACGACCTTCAGACGCAACAGGGCACAAATACCTCTCAGAAGCCAGAACGGGCACCAACCCACAGACCCAACACGGACCCCCGCCCCTCGGAAGCCAACATGGGCGCACACGCCTCCGACCCACCACGGGAGCACGCCCGCCTCGGGGCCAACCTGAACACACAGCCTCCAGCCCCCACCACGGGAGCACGCCCGCCTCGGGGCCAACCTGAACACACAGCCTCCAGCCCCCACCACGGGAGCACGCCGCACACCTCGGGACGGACAGCGCCGCCGCCCGCACACCCAACGCGGCCTGAAGAGCCAACAAGAACGCACAACCCTCACACTCAACACGGAGCACACCCGTCAGAACCACACTGTAAAAATTCATAAAGGAAACTTTGTCTAGAACGGAGTCTTGACAGCGGCAGGAGGAGCTCTCCCCCTCCCGCTCCTCCTTGGTCGCCAAGCCAACAGGAGCAGGGAGCCCCTGCTCGGCCGCGCCACGCCGCCACCCCTCTGCCGCAGCCCGGCCAGCTCCCGGCTCACCCCAGCCGACCCCGTTTACAACAGCCCTCCCAACCCCCTTCCTCTGTAGAAGAGCCTCCCCTCCTCGGTCCGGTGGCCTCCCCTATTTGCGTGTCCCACACTGCAATTCTCTGCTATTCCCGAACAAATCTATTTGTGGGGGGAAATGACTGGCAGTGTTATTTTTAAGGTTAACAGCGTCCACGCACGCCCTCAGAACCGACAGGCAGACACAGCACCGCCCTCCACACTCAACACGGGCACGGACAGCCCTCGGAACCCCCCCCCCACGGTCCTCACACCCAACACAGGAGCACAACTCTCAAACCTCTCGGAGCCCAGCGTGGCACAAACCCTCAGCCCCAACGTGGACTCATCCCCCTCAGAACCCGCTGCGGGCCGAGCAAGCGCGGCTCTCGCCCACCGGGGACGCACCTGGCGCAGCGCCGCCTCACCCGCGCCGCCCTCCCGCTGCCGGAGCTGCTCCCGGAAGCGCGCCACCTGCTCCAGCAGCGCGTCCACGAGCGAGGGGGCCGTGTCGCCCTCGAACGCGGCCAGGCGGGCGCGGAGGCGCGCAATGAGGGCGTCCCGGGCGGCCAGCTGGTCCTGCAGGAGCCTCAGCCGCTGCCCGGCCTCTTGGTACAGACCGCAGAGCGCGGCCGCCGCGCGCGCTGCCCCCTCCTGCCCGCCGGACCCAGCGCCCCCTGAGGACATGGCCGCGGGCCTGGACCGGCGGGGGCGCGGACGCCGCCAACTTCCGCGCCGGGTCTGGGCGGGCCGCGCACCTTCCCGGAACTTTTCCCGGCGCGCCCCGCCCACCGCCGAGAGCCCGGCCCCACCCACTGCGACCAGCGTGGCCCGGGACCCGCAGACCGGTAGTCCCAGACCCTTCGACAGCCCGGCCCCGCCCACGGCGACCCGTCTGGCCCCGCCCCCGTCGACAGCCCCGCCCCTTCGCCCCCGACAGCTTGGCCCCGCCCACAGCGGCCCGCCTAGCCCCCGCCCCTCTGCCTACAGTCCGGCCCCGCCCACGACGACCAGCGTGGCCCCTGACCCGCAGGAAGGCCGTCCCAGACCCTTCGACAGCCCCCTGCCCACAGCCCCGCCCCTTCCCTCCCCCATCCGCCGACAGCTTGGCCCCGCCCACGGCGACCCGCCTAGCCCCCGCCCCCCTGCCCACAGTCCGGCCCCGCCCAGGACGACCAGCGTGGCCCCTGACCCGCGGAAAGTCAGTCCCAGAGCCTTCGGCGGCCCGCCCCTTCTCCCGGCCCCAGGCTTGTGGCCCGGCGGTCCCGGACTGCCCGAGTGGCGGGCTTGTCCCAGCGGCCCGCCTCCTCCCCCCGCTCCCCGCTCCCCCCGCCCTGTCCCCCCCTCCCCGGAGTCGGGGGAGTCTTCGGGGAGTCTACCGGGTGGAGGAGGAGGAGGGAGGGAGGGTAAGGCCGCCCCTGATGCAGCCGCTGATGGGAGGGAAAGAAGGGGTCAAAGGCGACCTCAAGTGTTGGACCTGTGCGTGGTCCACATCCCCGGGCTGCAGGCCAGGTTGGCCACACACAGCAACAGGAACAGGGCGACGGCCCAAGGGCTGGGCCCAGGGAGATGCCCCACCCCCCACCCCCCACTGCATGACAGCGACCCAGAGTAGGGCGCCGGCCCACGCACCCGTCGCTGAGACAGTCTTAGAGCAGGAGGCAGGAGGGCGCTGCCCTGTCCTACCCGCACTTCTCCGTCCCTTTCCTTCCTCCACCTTCCCAGACCAACTCCCAGCGGTTTTCCGGCTCCACGCTGCTTTCCTTTTCAAAGTCTGAGCTTTCCCCCACAATGACGCCCAGGCACACCTGCGCTGTTTCAAAGGTTCCTCCCTCACAGCCGCTGCGCCTTCCGCCCTGTCCCCGTCTGGTTTTCCCCTTTCCGTAGTCCACTGCCAAGCTCGGGCTTGGGCCCCGGGAAAACCCTGGCAGGCTTGTAAATCAGACAAGTGTATGAGCGAATCCAGCTCACACTTCCTCTGCAGAGGGAAGGTCAGAGCCGTACCCTCCCTGCCTGGTCGGGGGTGTGAAAGGGTCCCCCAGCTCCTGGGATCCAGCTCTAGTGATTTCACCCCCTGATACCATTGTCACCATTAGGATATTACAGAAAGGTTGGAGTGTGATTCCTGCAGTGAAGTGGAAAGACGTTGTTGGCTACTGCCTTGCTCGCTCTTGGATCACCAGCTCTGGGGGAAGCCACCCACCATATCCTAAGGACACCAAGTAGCCCTATGGAGAGATAACAGGTGGTGAGGAAGTAAAGCTCTGTGCCAATAGCCAGCGTCAAACTTGCCCACCCTAGTCAGCAAGCTTCCTTGGAACCGCGGCCTCCAGCCCAGGCAAGCCTTTGGGTGATGCAGCCCCAGCCTACATCTTCCCTGTGACCTCATGGGACACCCTGAGCCACAACCACTCAGAGAAGCTGCTTCTGAATCCCTGAGGTGTGTGTAGTTTGTTACGCAGAAGTAGAAAACGAACATGTAGTATATCACGGTGTGCCTACTGAGGCGTGGGACAGCACCCCAAAGCCAGATACATTAAAATTTCTCCAAAGACGACTACTCAGACTGAGATAAAGAAAGACGATGAAAAGCCTTACAGCTTTCAAGTTAGATTTCTCACCAACTTTAAGGAAGACCTTTTGAGTTTCCAAGCTTTGGGGATCTCAGAATTACGGAGGAGGGATGGCAGACTTTCCACAATAGGCGTCCTACAGGGTGTTGTGAGGGTTCTTGGGTTAACATCCTTCATAGTGTCGTTAACTACATGCCAGTGCCTTCAACTAAAATCCAGGGACTGAGTCAGGCACTGGGGATTCATGGGCAAGCACTCCGATGGTGGAGACAGACCCTCTTTCAAAAGAAAAAAGAAAAAGAAACGAAGGAAGGGAGGAAGGGAGGAAGAAAGAAAGAAGTTGCAAAGTAAGTAAACTTTGTACAGGAAAGGGGGAGGGATGTGTAAGTAAATACATAAGGAGCAAAGAAGGAGAAACAGGAGGGCAGCCAAACGGAGGGGAGTTTCAGCGGCAACCTAAGGCACAGAAAGGAGTGAGTCCCAAGCAGAGGAAAATGTGCCTGGGGAGAGTTACAGGGGCCGACACCCTGGCCAGAGTGGGGCCAGAACAGCCTCTGGCAGCAGCTGTGCCGAGAAGGGGCATGAGGAGGGGCCAAGTGCACCCACCCAACAGTGGCCCATCAGGTTGGCTGCTGGTGGGGCTTAAGCCGTCACATTTGCACACACCTGCTGTGACGTCCCCACCCCATCCCCAACCAAGCCCTTCCCTTCCCAGTGTGTTCTTAATGCAGAGCTCCTACTGGAGGAAGGTGTCTTAGTCAGCTCGGGCTTCCATAACAAAATGCCACACATGGGAGGCTTAAACAGCAGGCTTTACTTCTCCCATTTCTGGAAGTTGGAATTCCAGGTGCCAGCCAGTCTGGTCTCTCCTGGGCTGGCACAGGTCCCCCCTTCCCTGTGAGTCCTCAGAAGGCCTTTTCTCTGCGTACACACATCCCTGCAGTCTCTCTTTCTCTTCTTAAAAGGACACGAAGTCCTGTTGGATCAGGACCCCACCCTAATGACCTCATTTAACCTTAATTACCTCCTTAAAGGCCATGTCTCCAAATACAATCACATTCAGAGGGTAGGGCTTCAACACAGGAGTTTTGGGGGGACACAATTCAGTCTATAACAGTGGGGATGCTACTGAGTAGCACAAAGATACTTTCTACTCTTTTGTAAGGTGCCCAACACACAAAGGAAGGCTCCCTCTGCCTTTGGGAGAGGGAAAAGGTGAAGCACAGACGGACAGGGGACAGAGAGTGACCGTCAAGAGCCTGGGTGTCACAGCACCTGGGAAGGTTGTCTGGTCCTGTTGTACCTGCCGTGGCAAACGGAGGAAGAAGCAAACCCTCTGCCTCCAAGTGTCTCCCTACCTTCCCAGCCATGCTAGCGCAGACGGTAAGCTGTCACGCAGACTATTATCTCTACCCTGTGCTTTTTTAGGGTGCCCTTGCTCCTGGTGCACTGGAGCAGCAGAAAGAGCACCAGCCTGAAGAGAGAGCCCTCAGATCCAGGGCTGACGTGGCCACTGCCCACTCTTCTTATCCTCTCTGTGGGTTGGCCCCCCGCCGCTCTCCACTCCTCACCCACTAGCCCGAAGAACTCCTATGCCCAGCCCTACACCCACCGTCCAGACTCACGTGACCTGAAACAAAGATCTACGAAGCCTGGCCCATAGCGGGAGGTGATCCGGGGAGCATGGGGTTTCCACGCCCTCTGGTTATGCAGGGCTTGGATTTGTGCAATAAAGGATTAGCATGCAGGTTTGGGTGCTCAAACTCTGCACACACTCGGAAGAAAGAAGGGGCCCTGGACCCGCTCCTGGGAGATAGTCTCTAAGCCCTTCGAATGTTCTGTCTGATAAGATCTCTTTGCTTACCCGGAGGCCTCGGGCCACACCCCATAGTCTGTGCGAGAATGAATCTCACTGACACAACAGGGTGAAATGAAGTGCAAGTTTATTAAGGTGAGAGCAGAAAGGAAAGGAGAAGCTCCTAGAGTGAGAGGGGTCCCAAATGGGTTGCCACGGAGGGCATTTAGGGGCAGTCTTTTCTTGAGAACTGACCGGGAAGCTTGTGGCCTGGAGATTCTTGTGCTGTCTTGGTTTGAGCACGGATGATTGATAACACCCTTCAAAACTTAATTCTTTGAGGTTTGGTCATTCTCTGTGATACACTGTAACAGCCAAAGAAAAATACTCTGGGGCGCCTGGGTGGCTCGGTCCTTGAGCGTCTGCCTTTGGCTCGGGTCATGATCCCGGGGTCCTGGGATCGAGCCCCGCATCGGGTTCCCTGCTCAGCGGGAAGCCTGCTTTTCCCTCTCCCTCTGTCCCTCCGCTGCTTGTGTTCCCTCTCTCGCTGTGTCTCTCTCTGTCAAATAAATAAATAAAATCTTTTAAAAAAAAGAAAAAAGAAAAATACTCCGGACTGTCGGAGGCCAGGTGGTCTGTTTCCTTATCTCTTGCTCGCTCGCTCGCTCGGGCTTAGTCCTTCCGCCAGGAACAGTCTCAGAGCCCAGCCGGGAGCCCCTCCTCTCCTTGCCTATACCTTAACCCTTTCCTTACTGACGGTAGGATTTCTGGCAGGGCCAGGGGGCACGATGTACCAGCTTGACCCCTGGAGGGGCTGGACACTGGGTGACTAAGGCCGGTCACACTGGTTCTCCACAGCAACATCAAGGCTGGGTGAGCTTCCTGGTGGGCAATGAGACAGAACACGGACTGGACTCAGGTCCGCCATCCCTGACCCCCACACCCAGCATTCTTTGGCTACCACCGTAAGAAAAAACAAAGAAAAGCTAAACCTCTGTGTTCTCGAGTGGTGTATCTTGCAGGAATGCAGAGGGAGGATGCTTACTATGACACTGGTGAAGATGGGACCAAACCAGTTTGCACCAAGATGGACCCCAGCGCTGACCTTTCACCGACTTTTCCCCTCATTATAATACTAAAAATCATGCCCGGGGTGGAGATTTAACATGCTAATTAGACGCAAGTGGCAGGAAGAAGCAGCACAAACTTTAAGCACGTAGGTGCTAATAAATTCCCTCCCACAGCACCCTTTTTCCACCTGTTCCTTTCAAAACTCTCCCCGACCTCCCCTGGGAGAGCCAGCCTGAGGATCCTGCCCTTTGTACTGCCTTCCTCACGCTCAAGCATAAACCCCAATAGGGGCGCCCG